ATCTTGGCACTGGCATCAGTCTCCATGTGGTTCCTCCAACTCCAAGGCTCTGGCTGCCATCAGCATAGCTCCATGTGGCATGTCACCAGGAATGCCTCACAGGGAGTGCGTGTCCAGTCTTCAGTGAGCTATTTATATCCTTAGCAACCTCTAAATGAGGTCATCAAGCTGCGACCTGAGTGACAGGCTAAACTCCACCCCTTCACAAGTCGACACCAGATTTATGTGACTACCACACCGCCAAAACTCAAATTCACTGCCATTGAGTCAATGCCAACTCATAGTGACCTTAATAGCCAGTTAAAACTGCCCCCGTGAGATCACAGCCCAAGGAAAAACCGCTATGCCACCAGGAATCCCTAGGAAAAAAGGGCAAATGGAAATAATAAGTAAAGGGGCAAGGTGGGAATCCATGTCCCAAATCAAAATATGTGTGAACTGTCAAATGGAAAGCTTACTTACTCTGCAAAATTTCACCTAAATCATAACCCAAAGTTTGAAATAAAAATGCCTCCTATGCTCGTTTACTTTCAGTAGAAATAAACTTGATATATATGTTAGATATCTAGTGCTACCCTAACAGAAATACCATACGTGAGTGGAGAAAGATTGACAGGAGTTTATTTTCTTATGGCTGTGCAGACAAAAGTTCAAATCTAGCTCTCGGTGGTGCTTCCTTTGTGCCAGGCCTTCCTTGGTTCTTTGCCTTGTAGTGATCATCACCCGCTCTCTAGCATCTGCTCTTGTGTTTCTTTGTTTATCCCGGTCTCTTTGTAACTCAGAAGTGGTTAGATTCAGGATCTACTCTAACCACTGTTCATTAACAACAAAAGATTCTACTTCCAGAATCACATCCACAGATACAAGGGCCAGGGATTCAAAATAGTTTAGGGGCCATAGTTCCCTCTATGAAGGAGCCCTGGTGGCATAGTGGATTATGTGCTGAGCTGCTAAGCACAAGGACAGCAGTTTATAACCACCAGCTGCTCCTCGAGAGGAAGAGGAGCCTTCTCCTCCCGTAAAGAAGTAATCTCTGAAACCTACAGGGACATTATCTGAGGGTCTTAGGGTCACTAAGGGTCAGCATCATCTTGATGGCAGTGAGTTTTGGTTTTTGGTTCCATCTATAATATGTGCTATATTTATTGAAATAAAAGATATTATTAAATCTAAATTTATGAAAAGTTTAGATACTTATTTATAAATATCTTCCATTTTAAATATGGTGGAGAATCAGAATGATGGTTGTCTCTGAGGTGATGAGAGTAGAGGTGGAAACAGGCTGAGAAGGAGCATGTAGGAATTTTCTTGGGTGATGGCATAATAATAATGTGCTTGGTCCAAAACCCAATACACATTTCATATGTGCATTTCATTGTTGTAAAGTTCACATTGTCAGAATGTGGTAAAATATAGCGCTATAATTAATGGCATTGTTGTGAGATAAATATTGTTTATATTGATTTTTCTAATCACACTTTTATATTCTCCCCAAATTATTGGCCAGACCCTAATCTTGCAAGGGAATGATTAGCGTACTATGCAAATTCAGCAAGTTGCTGTTCACCAAGGGGATTGTTCTGTTGGTAGTCCAAGTGGAGGAACCTGGCCTTAAAATTGACAAGGAACAGGATCACATAAGGACCAAACCCACCGAAGTGCAGGGTACCTCTCTGCCATCAACACCTGACACTTATGCACAGAGAACCTTCTAGTCTCAGAAGAGAGAGCTGTACTACTGCAAGAGAATAGCAGAGGGCTGAAGTTAAAATGATGTAACACTTTTCCATGGAGGGTAGAGACCCGAGTGTGCCTCTTTGTAGAGATTGTGTTGGAGGATCCTGTGCAGGAGTCTTCTACAGCAAGGCAGAGCCAGATACCTCTGGCCAGGATGTTTGCCAGGGGAGCTAAAAATTCTGTGAGCTCTTTTCTGGGTGAGAGCATTCTGAGTGTGCATTGTGTAGTGTTTTCATGCTTCCCACCCTGGGCAATATGGGCTTCCAGAGCATGGAAGTGAGTGCCACAGGCCTGGGTAGCATCGTGGGAGCCAGTAAAATATGTCAGGAAGGTCATGTGGCAAAGAAGAAGTCTTGGAGGCTGAGAAGGCCCTGCAAACAGTCTGGTAGTAGCATAGCGATGTAAACACGGCGTTTGATTTGAACCATGGAGGCCTACCAATGACCTAAAAATGAATAAGGTTATTTGGGGGAGAAATCAGCATTTCCTTTTTGAGAACCTGTTGTTAAGGTTTACTATTTGCTTTCTATAAATAATAATCATATGGTTTCCTTTTTCAACACTATATAAATGCTCCTGTGTCCTGCTTAATCATACATGAGCACCACCTCATGGAATATCCATGGGCTTACCTGCTTCATTTCTAGCCGGTTCATGACAGCCTGAAATTGCTGCACAAGACACACTCAGAACTCTCTCACCCTGCAGAGGGATCAGAAGTTTGAAGCACAGCCTGCCTGCACGCACAATGCAGCTACACAGGTAATGCATTCATATTTGCTTAAGTGTATAGGGAGCACAGACTGGCGTCATAGTGGTTGCACTTTGGGCTGTTAATAGCAATGTCAGCAGTTCAAAACTATCAGCTGCTCCACAGGAAAAAGATGGGGCTCTACTCAGGTAAAGAGTTATAGTCTCAGAAACTCACAGGGTCACTGTGAGTCTCAGTGAGTTTGGTTTTGGTTTTAATACTGACATTCTGAAACTTACAGATTAAAAAAAAGTTTTAAAAGGGTAGATGGATAAAGGATAAGGATGTGATATAAAAAGTGCAGTAGGAGATACCTTTGAATTTTTTCAAATTTGAAAAATAAACAGAGGTCAAATTATTTCTCTAAACTAGATGCCACTAAGGGTCCATAAACAGTAGCGGGGTAATTGCTTTGTGGCAGACTCACACAATGTGATACCATACAGAGGCACAATTATTTGCTACCCATCAAAATATGGGCAAAACTCACAAATAAAACCATAAACAAAAGATGCCAGCCATATGAGG